TGTCGGTCCTTTGGCTTCTAAAGAGGCAGAGGAAAAAGTATTGTGTGGGAGATAACCATTTGATAAATAGGTCGAGTGGTCCAGATGCCAGGAGTTGATGATAATATATAACTAAAGTATTATTATTAGTTAGCAGCGTCGACGTCTCCACACCGGCGCTTAGAACTCACTGAGCCAACCTTAACTAGTTAATGGCTAGGGGATCATCACGTGGGAGTGAGTGGCTTTGGTTGGTTGGGTTGTAACCTGTTCAGAGTCTCCTGCTACATCAGCCTATATCTATCCCCCATACAGAAACCGAGTGTTCTGTAAACAGTGACATCGATTGGATCATGACTCGGTTTGACGAGGAGAGGATGCAGAGACAGGGACAGGAGCAGGAAAAGATCCGTCAAGAGACATGGCCTACTCTGGAGGGTATCCTGCAATTAACGGGACCAACTATACCATCAGCCGGGCGCCAATTCTTCTCTCCTTCTCCTTCCACTATCCTCAAGGTCGGTGCCGATGAAGGTGAAGACACCATGACCGTGCTAGGTCGCTCTATCGTAGGCCCTTCTGTCCCGCGCGTCGACTGCATTGTCACCATTTCCGCCCTGGAGTCACACTTAGAGCCGCAACAAGGTATCCTCATGTCTCGCCAACCAGGCACACCGCTTGTTGAGATCTGGCCAACACTCTCCCCTTCGCAGCGCAAGTCCATCAAGGAGGAGCTTTGCCGGATGCTTGTGCGTATGCGTATGCCCAAGTTCACCTATTATGGACGTCCTGGGCGCCATCCATACACTCTCCTTGGTGTATACAGCAAAGAGACGCACGCCTTCTGCGCTTCCCGCACAGAGTGGGACGAGTCACGGATCCAGGCATTGCGGGCCTCTGAAGCAGGCGCAGAACGTATAGCTGCCCTCGAGAAAGTGCAGCGTGATACAACTGGCACCCCAGGCTGGGATCGGCCTGTTCTCACGCATGGAGATGTATCTGACCGGAACATCCTTATAGACTCTGACACACTCGCGGTGACGGGATTTATAGACTGGGAGATAGCTAATATTATGCCAGCGTACTTTGAGTACGCATGTGCACGCCTGTCTGAAGGCCATGATCTCGAGTGGAGAGTCGAGCTGTTGGATGTGATGAGGTCCGTTTTGCGCCGCGAGTGTGAGGCTATCAGTACCGGCAAGGGAGAGCAGTTGTATCAGAAGACATTATTGGCTTGGGATGCAATGGTTGATGTTGAGAGGTTTGCGCAGCATTATAACGATGACTGCTGTTGGACTTTTGAGACCGGTCTGCCTGTTTCACAGAAGACCGAATCCGCCTTGTAGTTCGTAGAGGCATAACGAACAAAATATCAAGAGTTGAGAGGAATTCAAAAATTCATTGGACTATATCAAGTATTATACGAGAGAAGAGGCTGAAATGTACCGCATCAACCGTAAGCAAAAAACCTTTGGTCAAAAACACAGACAGACTCAACCATCTCAGAAACAGAGAAAACGGGAAGCGGGCAAGAAACGAGGCGAAGAAACAGGAAACCAGCAGACCAGAACCCATAAAACATAAAGCGAGCGGGATGGACATGAATATCGAATTGATTCCAAAGCAACTAAATATTGTACTCTGCAGACTCCGTGTACTAACGTATCAGGATAGGGAGGCGGCAGCAATAAGCATGAACAGGGAAAAGAAGTCGAAAGTATATGAATGAATGTGTGCGGCATATCAGAGAAAGCGGAGAAGAAGGGTAGAGTGGGGGAAGGGGTATCTTAATATGCAGGCATGAACAATAAACGAACGAATTAAGGCAACAAGGAAGCGGAACTCGGGTCGATTTGGGTTGCGGGAAGTAAAACAACTTAGGAGGCAAACCATGGATAAAATAGTAGAATAAAAAGGGAGAAGAAGCGGGGGAATTTGGAAGAGAGAATAAAAAGGAATAATACAAGTATGTATGAAGGGTAAAGAGAGAGATGAGACAGAAAAAAAAAAAAAAAAGGCGAAAAACGAATAGCCAAAGCAGAATGTCAAGACATGTAGATATAAAAGACAACCAAAACCAATTTACCGAATTGCACCTTAACGGATACCCCCGATCCCATTGCAGCTCCTTGCCTTTTCTAGTAAGTCCCGGGCCATGAACCGTGTGCTCCCTGCGGGCCTGCCTGGCCTTGTCCTTGTGGTCCTGTTGGTGACCAAGGAAGACTAGCGCCAGTGCTTACGGATACAGCTGGCATCATGCCTGCACCACCGGCACTTACACCTCCAACGCCCATCCCGAAAGGTTGTTGTATCATGCCTGGGGAAGTGTACATTCTAGCCCCAGCGGCCGCACCTGGTCCTGCCATGGAATATGCGGCATTGACAACACCCGGATAGGCCATGGAATTCATTCCTGGCTGCTGTGGATGGGGTTGGGGCTGCGGTTGCAGTTGTGGAGAGGCAAGCTGCCGTTGGCCTGGCGAGTGTGAAGGATGATGTGGCTGGTGTTGGTTATGCAGTGGAGATGCATACTGTGGATGCTGCATTCCGAGTGACTGGTGGTGTTGAGGTTGAGGTTGTGTGTGTGACGGTGATTGTTGAGATGGATGGTGCTGTTGCTGTTGCTGTTGCTGTTGCTGATGCGGGAGTGGTTGCTGCGGCGGTGCTCCCCAGAACTGCTGTTGTGGGTATGTATATAGCGACGACTGAGATGAGACTGGAAGAGAGACAGGGGTAGAGGAGAGGGGGAGCGACATGGGATTGTTTGGAGAGCGGTGATGTCCTTGCTGTTGCTGCATAGTGCGAAGAGGAGGTGACATGGACGGTTGCTGGTGCTGGGGTTGCTGGTGGTGCTGCGGCTGCTGTTGCTGATGGTGAAGAGCAGGCGAGTATGACGTATGAGGTGTCATGACGGTTTGCGGCTGTTGCAGCATTGGTTGTGGCTGTAGGGAAGACATCATGCCGGAGGAGCTGAGTTGGGGCGATTGCAAATTCGTGTTGCTAA